CACTTTAGCACAGGTTCGTCGGGGGTTATTGAGGGGACTCTTCGTTGATGGGAAGTTTTCAAGTAGTATGTAAGAGAACAGTGTAGAAGTGGAATACGTGAAGGAACATCTGGTGGGAAGATATGTGAAGCCAGCAAGTAGGGAGGTCGAAGAGAACTCACTTCACAGAAGAATTCATTGCCACGGAGCCCACAGAACCAGGAAATCCAGGACACCTCCTCTGAGCTGCTCATCTTCACGTCAGCTGGAAAAAAGAGTGTCAGTAAAGCTCAAGTTCTCCTTCCCTGCCTCAGGTATCCTCCCTCCTCCCACATTAGAACCACCCTTTCTTAAAGGATCCCAAACTCTGAAGCACTCCTCTCCAACTCCTCCAATTTACATCTCAGTCCCTTTCCTTTGAAGTTAAACATTCTTTGGGGTCCCACCACTTGAAAGAAGCCAACAGATACTTTGACCCACCAGCCCGACCCACGTCCCTGGAGCTCCCGAAAGCCAGGGCCCTCTCTTCTCTGTGTCAACTCCGGCAGGGACCTCGACTCAGGCTCCCTACCAATGCAAGTCTCTGCACGACCCCGGCGCCTTTCCCAAGGGTTTCCAAGTTTATCACTCTCAAGCAAGAATCGGGCCTCTCCTTTTCTCAAGGGTTGAGGGCGACTGTCAGGTCCCTTTCACCGGATTCCACACATCCCCCCTTCCGCTCCTCAAGCCACCTCTCCCTCCTTGCCGGACCTGGTTGCTTCCTCCCCCGCCCCCATATCAAAGTGCGGAGACCCATGTGCGGCTCCCAGCGACAAGGGACTAGGAGCAGCGAAGACCTCAGACTCACCAGCTGGACGGGGACCAGGACCGGGGTGGGGTAGGGAAGTTGCTACTTCGAAGGAACGGCGGCGACCGCTACAGCGCAGGCCGCGGACCCGACCGCGGCAGGCGAAGTGGGGTTGGGGGAGTGGAAATTGGGGAGGGTGGGGAAGAGGGCAACACGCAAGCGCCAAGGGTCAGGTGCCGCGGTGGATGCCGGGACGCGGAGTCCCCGGTAGAGAGAGAAACCGGCTAAGTGAGGGAAAGCGAACTACCAATCCCAGGATGACCCGCGCACGACCTGGCTGTCACGAAGCCCCGGAGGAGGACGCTTGCGGGCGGGGCGCAACGAGAAGCCACCGGAAGCGGAAACCAGGTATGGCGTTCGGGGCCTGGGAGCCTGGGCAATACCGTTGTGTGCTCACTGGGCGAAGAGGCTGACTTAGGGCGGGGAAAGGAGGGAGCCAGGCTGGACCCCTCCCCGCAGCTCTCCTCACAGTTGCCCTCTAGTCCCGGCGCGGTGCTGCTTCCCTGGGGACTGGCCTATCCTTGGCCAATGCGCTGGGTCCTTATTGCCTGTTGGGCCCCTAGTGCGAGTCAGTCCCGCCAGAGGCCCTTGACGGGCCTTCTGTTTTACTCCGGGCTCCGGCCTCATGAGGCGAGAGGTGCGGCTTGGCTCCATGCGTAGGGACTTGGGTTGGGTGGGCTGGGCTGGGCTGGGCTGGGCTGGGCGGTGTGAGAACCAGAACGGCCCAGTGCGCTAACCTGAGGTGGTGCCAGCCATTCTGCTCGTCCCCTTGCACTTCTCCATTTCCCCTTAGTCTCTAAGTGTGACCTTCGAACCCTGGTCAGAGTAATGGTGAGGGGCAGGCGTGACGTTATTTCATTACACGGCTTCTCGGCATTCCACAGGTTTCCCTCCGCCTCCTGAGGGCCTTTCCTAACCCAGAGAGTGGATTCCTAGCTCCAGAAAATGGGCTTGGAGCGGGGGCCACGTAGAGGAAGGCGAAGGGCATTGTGGGGGCGTTATGTAAAAGTAGGACCCCAACCGACAGATCCTAGCGCTCGCGCCACCTGGGCGCGCGGAGCTTTGCTCGTTTACTATTGGAAAAGTTCCAGCGCGGGAAACTGAACCGGGAGCTTTGCGCACGCCTGAGCCATCAAGTAATGTGGGTGGTGGTTTTTGTTGTTGTTGTCGCCACGCATGCGTCTCCGTGCCGTGTGGCTATTTGATTGTGTCAACTCTGCTGATCAGAATAGCGCCATTTTGCGGTACGGAAGCTACACAGCAACACGTATAGGAGCCTCTCCCCGAGATCTTCTAGGGAGTGACCCGTCTATTTTTGTTTGGGAAGAGGAAACTGAAATGGGATCACGGAAGACTTAAAGGGCCAGGTTTGATTTTTTTTTTCCTACTGGTACGTGTGTTTTACGGGGTAAGAAAGTGATTTCAGAAAGAGGCTGGTATTTATTGTTGGTAAGGATGGGGGTGGGGGCCGGACGCAGGACCTCTGGACGACTGTCTCATGGAGTTTGATTAATCTTTACTAAGGAGCAAAGTCGGTATTGTAGGGTTTCGTGTTTTTACGCATATACTCTCTCCCTTAGACCCTGCAGAGTCTTAAGTTGTGGGGTCACTTTAGCGGCAGGAAAGTGTTTTTGACTACTTTTTATCATCCCAGCAGGTCCCTGAGGCTCTGGTTGCTACAGAGTCACCAGGAGCTTGGCTTGCTTGTCGCATCCTTCCCTTGCCTGGTATCATTTTCTCAGTTCTCCCAAAAGCCATGTCCCGGCCCTTCCTCATCACCTTCACCCCAGCCACTGACCCCAGCGACCTCTGGAAGGATGGGCAGCAGCAGCCACAGCCCGAGGAGCCAGAGTCCACCCTGGATGGAGCTGCAGCCCGAGCTTTCTATGAGGCCCTTATTGGGGATGAGAGCTGCGTTCCTGACTCCCAGAGATCTCACACTGAACCTGCCAGAGAAAGAAAGAGAAAGAAAAGAAGAATAATGGGGGCAGCTGCAGCAGAAGCAGTGGCAGAAGGAGTATCAGGAAGATATGGACAAGGGAGATCCCTTGAGGCTGAGGATAAGATGACTCACCGGATACTGAGGGCAGCCCAGGAGGGGGACCTGGCAGAACTTAGGAGACTGCTGGAGCCCCATGAGGCAGGAGGAGCTGGGGGGAATATCAATGCTCGGGATGCCTTCTGGTGGACCCCACTGATGTGCGCTGCTCGAGCGGGCCAGGGGGCAGCTGTGAGCTATCTCCTGGGCCGTGGGGCTGCCTGGGTGGGGGTCTGTGAGCTGGGTGGCAGGGATGCGGCTCAGCTCGCTGAAGAAGCTGGCTTTCCTGAGGTGGCCCGCATGGTCAGGGAGAGCCATGGAGAGACAAGGAGCCCAGAGAACCGGTGAGGGGAAACTTTAGCTCAGACCCCTGTCTCATTGTGTTCTGCCTCTCCCAGCCACTCCACACAAGAGGCCCCAGCACAGTGCTGAGGAGTTCTTTCCTTATCCTCATGTGTAGGTTGACAAGGTAGTATAGTCAAGTGGTTATGAATATGAGCTCCCTGGATTTAAAGCCTGATTTCACTTACTTGGGCAAACAACCTAATGTCTACATGTTCCAGTTTTCTCATCTTAGAAATGGGATAGTAAGGATTGTTGTTAGGATTCAATGGGTTAATATATGTAAAATGCTAGAATAGTGCATGCTGCATAGTATGCAATATATGAATGTTAGCTGTAGTCATTATCACTAGTATCCCTCCCCTTGCCCAAGAGTTTGCTAGGCCTGGTTACAATTTTTTCTTTTCAACTCGTCTGCTCTGGGTCCCACAATGGTTTAAAGAAATTTGTTTTTAAGACCAGTAGTGAGAAGGAGGGGAAAAGTAGAGTAAGGAGTTTGATCTGTAACTGAGTGAACAGTCATTTCAGATAACACCACCACCTTTGGACCAGCCTGGATTCCCTCATTATTAAGTAGGAAGGAAGTCAATTTGTCCCTTTTTTTTTTCCCCTAGACAAGGTTTTACTCTGTCACCAGGCTGGTGCGCAGTGGCGTGATTTCAGCTCACTGCAACTTCCACTTCCTGGGCTCAAGCATATTTTTTGTAGAAAGCAGGTTTTGCTGGGACATGGTGGCATGTGCCTGTAATCCCGGCTACTTGGGAGGCTGAGGCAGGATAATTGCTAAGGTGGAGGTTAGAGTGAGCCAAGATCATGTCACTGCACTCCAGCCTGGGCAGCAGATTCAAGACTCCATCTCAAAAAAAAAAAAAAGTAGGCCGGGCGCAGTGGCTCAAGCCTGTAATCCCAGCACTTTGGGAGGCCGAGACGGGCGGATCACGAGGTCAGGAGATCGAGACCATCCTGGCTAACACAGTGAAACCCCGTCTCTCCTAAAAAAAATACAAAAAACTAGCCGGGCGAGGTGGCGGGCGCCTGTAGTCCCAGCTACTCGGGAGGCTGAGGCAGGAGAATGGCGTGAACGCGGGAGGCGAAGCTTGCACTGAGCTGAGATCCAGCCACGGCACACCAGCCTGGGCGACAGAGCAAGACTCCATCTCAAAAAAAAAAAAAAAAAAAATAGGCTTTGCCATTTTGCTCAGGCTGGTCTCAAACTCTTGAGCTCAAAGCGATCTGCCCACCTCTGCCTCCCAAAGTGTTGGGATTACAGGTGTGAGCCACTATGCCTAGCCGGCAATTTGTTCCTTAGCAGAAAAGCTGAAAGGATCCTCTCCTACCCTGCCAGCCCTCTCTCAGGCCTCAACTCTTCCCCTTTTCCTTCCCCTGCCGTTAATGCTTTTTCTTCTTTTTGTGCAGGTCTCCTACTCCCTCCCTCCAGTACTGCGAGACCTGTGACACCCACTTCCAAGATTCCAACCACCGCACATCCACTGCTCACCTGCTGTCACTGTCCCAGGGTCCTCAGCCTTCCAACCTTCCACTTGGGGTGCCCATCTCCAGCCCGGGCTTCAAACTCCTACTGAGGGGGGGCTGGGAGCCAGGAATGGGACTGGGACCCCGGGGTGAGGGCCGTGCCAACCCCATCCCCACTGTCCTCAAGAGGGACCAGGAGGGACTAGGCTACAGATCAGCACCCCAGCCCCGAGTAACACATTTCCCAGCTTGGGATACCCGAGCTGTGGCTGGGAGGGAGAGAGCCCCTCGGGTGGCCACGCTGAGCCGGAAGGAGGAGAGAAGGAGGGAGGAGAAAGACAGGGCTTGGGAGCGGGATCTAAGGACTTACATGAACCTTGAGTTCTGACTTTGGTAAAGTCTGACCCCGGTCTGCTGCTGAAGTCTGAACTTGGGCCTCTGACCTGGGCCCTTTGACTTCCCCTTCCTGGAATCTGCCCAGTTGCAGATCCTCAGTTTTTGGTCAGTGGACTCTGTCTTTGTAAGAGACGGGCTGAAAGTGATAAATAAATCAACCTTTTGTGGTTTATTCACTTTTCTGGAAGCTATTTTGAGGAAGCCAAACAAGCCTGGGAGCCACATGCAAGTCCCACCTGAGCCAGAAGGGGCAGCCTCTCCAGGTGGCAATGATAAGGTCACCTCCCTGCCAATCTGGGTTCACTTTCAGGTCCCAGCCCCTCCTGGGAGTGCCCCACCTATTCTTTCAACCCTCCTGGACCATGAGTTGCCCAGCTCCATGCAAGTCTCACTTCCCCCAAGAGGAGTTCCCTGACTACAGCCAATTCACTGATTTCACAAACATAAGTCCATATACTATGTGCCAAGAATACAGGTAAAGACATTCCCAACCTTCAAAAAAGTTCATGGCTGAAGGGGGAAACAGCCATGTTATCAATTTTTTTTTTCCTTTTTTTTGAGACGGAGTTTCGTTCTTGTCTAGGCTGGAGTGCAATGGCGTGATCTCGGCTCACCACAACCTCCGCCTGGCAAGTTAAAGTGATTCTCCTGCCTCAGCCTCCCAAATAGCTGGGACTACAGGCATGCGCCACCACACCCGGCTAATTTTGTATTTTTAGTAGAGATGTGGTTTCTCCATGTTGGCCAGGCTGGTCTGGAACTCCCGACCTCAGGTGATGTGCTGGCCCCAGCCTCCCAAAGTGCTGGGATTGCAGGCATGAGCCACCACTCCCAGCCCATGTTATCAAAAATACAGGGTAATAAGGGAAGTCAAAGAAGGCCCCTAGAGATGAGAATGGGTTAGGGTTTTGCTGGAAGAGGCCAGTGTGATAGGAAGGCCCACGATTATTAAGCTTAGATGAACTGGAACCAGAACTCTGGTCTCCAAATCTAAACTTTAAGTCAAGCTTTTTCATTCCACCTATTTGTGTACACTTTTCTTTCCCACACTTCCCAACCCTCCCACCACCCATCCCCTTGTCTTGCTCATGCCAGGCACAAGAAGAGCTCACTGTTGTGAAGAGGAATTAAAATTTGCAGAGAGGGGGAGGGGAGGGCTGTTCCAGTCGCAAGACTCATTTTTTCCTTTCTAGGAAGGCCTTTCATGAAGGCTTGGATGCGAAATGGAGGAGTGGTGGGGAATGTGGAGAAGAACCCAGGGGCAGGGGGCTGTAGGGGGGCGACCCAGTTCAGGGGAGCATGAGAAGCTCGGGAAAATGAGGAGTTGGGTTTAAATTAAGGACCTGGCCCTTGCTAATCTCAGCTTGGCGCTCCGTGGTCTGGCGCGCACGGACAGCGCGGGGGATACGGGGGCGGTCGATTCGCAGGGTCCGCCCCATGAGCTGCGGCACCGCCCCCGCGGGTCCTTCCAGTCCCGGTGCAGCTGCTTCCGGGCTCCGCGGCTCCCAGCGGCTCCCCGAGGCCGCAGCGCCGACGCTGGGCTCGGGAGCGGTCCTCGCGCAAAGCGCCCGGACGCGTGAGTCCTGAAGTAGGCCCGCACTTTGCCTCGCGACTGGGGATCTCCGAGGACATCTTAGTTCTGACCTTGCAGAGGCCGCGTCTCTGCTGCGTGTTCGCGGGCCAATCGGGCCACTTTGTAGAAATCATCCCCCTCTAAATCAAGGGACGAACGCTGCTGGCTGGAGTTTGCTGGACACTTTCATTCCGCCTAGTAACAAAGAGAATTCCTATTCCTCGAGGTCCCTTGGGGCAGCAGTTAAAGACTACACGATCCAGGAGCACCTAGGACCTGGGGCCACCTTCCTGCCTGCTTTATTGGATGGAGCACTGCCGCCCCAGTTTCTGGGGCACCTTGGGGTGTGGCCTTGGTGAGTGAAACTTGGGGTGATGCCTGCTGGGAAGGAAATCCGGAAACACAGAGAGGACTCTCTGGTGGTGACCCAGGCCTTGTCAGATCTGAGACTCTTGGAATCTTGTTTGTGGGGGTGTGGATGGTGAATGAATTTGGGTGTGCCTCTCTTTACCCCAAAACTGAAGAGGAACCAAACCACTTGCCACACTTGAGGCTGCATGACCATTCCGAGAAGGGAGGAGCCACTTCTGAATTCAGAGTGGGACTGCATCACCAGGCAAATAGCTGTTCTGAGCCAGAAAGACTCTGGCTTCTGAGGAGATCCTGAGAGTCTGAGTAGTGCCAGGAAGCAGCCTCAGAATCTGGGGGCCCATTACACACCCCAGCCATGTTCCTGCGACGGCTTGGTGGCTGGTTACCTCGCCCTTGGGGCCGCCGGAAACCAGTGAGGCCTGACCCACCTGACCCAGAACCCCGATGGGTGGACAGCTCCTCGGAGAATTCAGGAAGTGACTGGGATAGTGCCCCAGAAACCATGGAAGATGTGAGGCATCCCAAGACCAAGGACTCAGGGGCATTGAGGGTTTCTAGGGCTGCTTCCAAACCAAGCACTGAGCCCCAAGTTGAGCAACTAGGGAGCAAAAGAATTGATTCCCTCAAGTGGGTCCAGCCTATCTCTAGCACTCAAGAGTCTGGGAGACTGGAGGCTGGAGGGGCCAGTCCCGAACTCGGATGGGATCATGTGGATTCAGGTGGCACCAGGAGACCAGGGGTGTTGCCTGAAGGGGGAATGAGCGTCCCTGGGCCAGGAGCCCCAGTGGAGAAACCTGGCAGGCGTGAGAAGCTGTTGGGCTGGCTGCGGGGGGAACCAGGAGCTCCCTCCCGGTACCTGGGGGGACCAGAGGAGTGTCTGCAGATCTCCACCAACCTGACCCTGCATCTGCTGGAGCTGCTGGCCTCTGCCCTGCTGGCCCTGTGCTCACGACCACTGCGGGCAGCCTTGGACACACTGGGCCTGCGTGGACCGCTGGGCCTCTGGCTACATGGCCTACTGTCCTTCCTGGCTGCCCTGCATGGGCTCCATGCTGTTCTGAGCCTACTTACTGCCCACCCTTTGCACTTTGCCTGCCTCTTTGGTCTCCTGCAGGCCTTGGTGCTAGCTGTCAGCCTCCGGGAGCCCAGTGGGGATGAGGAGGCCACTGATTGGGAGAGTGAGGGGTTGGAGAGGGAGGGTGAGGAGCAGAGGGGAGACCCAGGAAAGGGGCTGTGACCATGGGGTGGTGTGGGGGCAAAGGGTGAAGAGAGTGTGGGCTTTAGGAGAAAAGTGTGGGGCATGACCCAAATTGTAAGCATAAGGACCTCAGGGATTGGGAAGAAACCCCATAGTATGAGGGTGTAGGGCCCCCCTTCATACATAGGAGAGAACAGAGCTATTTAGGGTGTTTGTGTTTATCGACAGTGAGGGCACTGCCCTTGGATTCACCAGCTGTTATTTTTGCTTTTAAATTTCTCCCACCTTCAGTTTTTTTTTTCCACCTCCACTTTTTAAAAGCAAGAAAAAAAAAAAAAAGTGTGGTGGTGGAGAATAAAGACCAAAGGGTTCTCTCTACCTTTCAAAACTCTCCTGGGGTGCAGGAGACCAGAGCAGGATAGCAGTAAGAGAGGGGTTGGGACACCCAGGGTACTCCTTGGATCTCGGGATCTGAGCCACCAAGGGACTGCTAGGCAAGTGGATTAGGGGGTCTGGATAGGGCCCCACAGGTGACGGGGAGCCTGCAGGGCGGATCTGGTGATCATGGGAGCCAGAGGGAGTGGGGACAGTGCAGGCAGTATTGGCAGGAGGGCCAATGCAGAAGGGCTGGTAGTTCAGGCAGTGTGGGGGAAGCACTGAAGCCTGTAGTCCCCACTTGGGGACTAGGGGTTTGCTCACTCAGCAATAAATAACTGTGTCACATCAAATCCTAAATATACCACTACAAAGTGAGAGTTACTGCCACTCTGTTCTTCCTGACGCCGTCCATCTGGGGGTTTAGGTGGTAGAGGATCCAGGGGGAGTGTTGAAATGGGAGGAGTGGGAATGATGTCTGGAGACAAACCCCAGAATGAGATGAGGATTGAAAAATCATCTTTATTATCTTGAATGGGAGTTGGAAGTCTCCAGCTTCTCCCTTCAACAACTCAGCTCCCATTGTACCATGTGGGGACTTAGACGAAGTTACAGGTCAGTTACTGGGCAGCTCACAGGCCTCTGTGATGGGAGAAGGGAAAAAAAAGAGGACAGAAAAGAAGTCCAGGGAGAAAAGCAAAGTTGATAGTAATGGGGTGGCGGAGAATGTGTTCTTTCATTCCCTGTGTCAAAGGGGAGTCTCTCAGGGCCTTTTCCCTCCACGTATGACCCTCTGCCCCCTTTATCCAGTGCAAACTCTGAAACCTCTCTTGAGTAGCCCAGAACCCATCCTGCCTCCCTCAGGTGACATGACAGCTCTTAGCCACATCCCTCTGGTGACATCACACGAGCCTCTTTCACCCTGTAACCCCAGAAGACTTGGTGAGTCCTAATCCTGTTTTGTGAAACTTTAACACCTTACCTTGATTCCTAGGAGTCGGTAAGAAAGCTTTGGAATCCAGGCAGGAAGTCAGGGACTTGAATTCCTCCACACACTTCTCGGGAGGATGTGGTGAGCGATCTGGAAGGGCAAGGTGGGGCCAGGCCAGTCAAAACCCCTGGAAGCACCTAGCTCTTCCTGGGAGGATGTCATAGGATCCAGAGTGAGGAGTTCTCTTGCCCTCCCTTGTTTCCCTCCAACCCTTCCTGCCTTATATCCCTACTCACTGTAGAGGAGAAAGCGCTGGTAACCCTGGCCTGTCTCATTCAGCATGATTCCACCTGGGCATGAGCTGGAAAAGAGCTCAGTCTTCATGTCAGGGCGGCCTGTCAAGGTAGGTGGGAGAAGTGTGAGAACACAGATGCAGAACCAAGCTTCAAGGGACTTGGGGAGGGTGAGGGCTGGGAAGAACCAACCTTCAGTTCTGAGATCTGTGCTCCCTTCAGTCAGGTGGTAGATCCATTTCCGGGGCACACAGAGCCCATCTTTTCTGCAGAGGTGGTGGTGGCAAGGAGGAAAGAATGAGCATCACCCCAACCACAGTGTCCCAGCTCTGGTTTTTTTTTTTTTTTTGAGACTGGGTGTCGCTCTGTAGCCCAGGATGGAGTGCAGTGGCATGATCTTGGCTCACTGCAAGCTCTGCCTCCCGGGTTCACACCATTCTCCTGCCTCAGCCTCCCAAGTAGCTGGGACTACAGGCACCCGCCACCATGCCCAACTAATTTTTTGTATTTTTAGTAGAGACGGGGTTTCACCGTGTTAGCCAGGATGGTCTCGATCTCCTGACCTCGTGATCCACCCGCCTCAGCCTCCCAAAGTGCTGGGATTACAGGTGTGAGCCACCACGCCTAGCCTGTCCCAACTTCTATTTACTCAATTGTACTCCTTATTGAAGCCCAGCTCTCCTTGGGTTTCAAGCTACCAAGCATTGGTTAGGCACATCTCTCTCCAGGGGGCAATTAATACAGCCATTGAATTCTGTGGGCCAAGCATAGTAGATATATCAGCTAAGAGGCCAGCTCTTGGTGGGTGGATTCTCACACTTTGGGCAGAGACTGAACCTAGTGATGCTTCTGCCTCCTCACCACTCACGTGCGGATGGTGGCACGAAGGTTGAGCTGCATCGGGGCAGAGCCAGCAGCCATGTTGAAGACAATGTTGTCCACAGGGTCAAAAGTTGCCAACTCCTCCTTGGTGGGAGCTGCCCCTGCGATAAAGTACCACTGGCCCAGGTGGACCTCTGGGAACTGGAGAGACAATGAAGGGAGCAAAAGAGGGTGGATGCCAGCACAGGATAGGTCCAACCTCTTTATCAGTCAGGACAGCAAGACTTAGGGGTAGAGGTGTTGGCTGCCTTCCTCTTTCCAACTTGGGATTGGATCCATGACAGAGTCATTAAATGACTTTTCCTCTTTGTCCCTCTCCAATCAACCTGGGTAATCACCCCACCCCCTAATTCTGCCATGCCTTTGCATTGATGGCCACAGTACTGATATTTTTCTTCTTGCTTTCATTATCACAACACTCACACCCCATTCCTCCCTTCCTTTCCCAAGACAGTCTCCAGTCATTCTAGGCCATCCACCCGAGTCCCTCAGAGCCTCCACCATAGGCTTCCCCAATCTCAGTCCATACCTCCTTCCCATCCACGCCCAGAGTTGTCAGTTGACTGTGCTCAGGGCACTGGTAGATGGAGTTAAGGATAACACCATAGAGGTAGAGCAGAGCTGCCCAAATTTGGTGGAACATCTTCAGGCAGGAGGGAGCTGGTGCTGTGTGTGCCTTAACTGCTCTCCCCTACTGGCTGCTCAGTCCACTCTGCTTTCAGCTCCCTTGCATTCGACCCTTGACCCTTTCACCTGCTAATGAGTAACTTCAACCTTGTTTTCCAACCCAAACCTGGATTATTTAGTATTTGGAACTTCCTCCCCCTCTTCCGGATGCAACCACTCCATACTATGGAGTTATGAGGAGAGCTGAGCTGTCCAAGGAGAAACCTGTGGTCTTTGAACCCATATCTGAGCTGGTTATTTGCTGCACTGTGCAGCACTGAAGGGAAGTAGTAGCTTGATTGGACCTCTCAATCATTCACTTGGCAAACTATTTTGAGTCCCCGTTGTTTCCCAAGAACTAGCTAATCCCTGGGGACATTAAAAAAAGGAGTAAGACATAGCCCCTGGCCTTGAATAAGTCGTTCTAGGGAAAACTAACTGTGTAGACAAACCATTGCAATACAACTCGGTAAGTGCTTTAGAGCAGGTATGATGCAGGTGTATGATGCAGGTGCTGGGGCACGGTGGATTGTTCTCTTCAGTTTATAATTAGAAAAATATGTATACCCTGGCAATGTTCACTGACACATTCACTCAACATTCATTACTACAAAGAGGCTACGTAATCTGTTAAAAGAGGATAGATGTTGGTGTCAGGCAGAATGTGTCCAAACCCTAACTACAGGCGGGGCATGGTAGCTCATGCCTGTTATCTCAGCACTTTCAGAGGCCACGGTGTGCAGATGGCTTGAGCCCAGGAGTTCAAAACCAGCCTGGGCTACGTGGCAAAACTCTGTCTCTACAAAAAATACAAAAATTAACCGCATGTGGTGGTACATGCCTGTAGTCCCAGCTACTAGGGAGGCTGAGGTGGGAGGACTGCTTGAGCCTGGGATGTCGAGGCTGCAATTAGTCCTGATTGTGCCACTGTACCCCAGCTTGGGCGACAGAGTGAGACTCTGTCTCCAAACAAACAAACAAAACACCACCAACCCCTAACTACTATGTCTGTTTTTTCGTCTGTAAAATTGGCAAATCATCAATCTTATAGGATTAAATGAAATAATGCACATAAAGCCCTTAGCAAAGACCTGCACATGGTAAGTCCAAAGTATATATTTGCTATAATTAATAGTAATGTTTGCAAAACTCTTAGTTTCTGATGGGTAATAAGTTCTCAAATAATAGGCAGTAAGAATTGCCAAATAGGCTGTCATTGAATAGCACCAAGTGACTGGAGCAGTTAATGCTGTGAGAGGTGGGGCTTCCTCAACAGATTATTTATTTACTTATTTATTTTTAAGACAGGGTCTCACTCTGTCACCCAGGCACGATCACGGCTCACCGTGACCTTGACTTCCTGGGCTCAGATGATTCCCCAGTAGGAGCTACAGGCATACGACATCACGCCTAGCTAATTTTTCGTAAAGACAGAGTTTCACCATGTTGCTCAGGCTGGTATTAAATTCCTGAGCTCAGGCAATCGGCCCGCCTCGGCCTTCTAAAGTGTTGGGATTACAGACATGAGCCACCACACCTAGCTTGATAAATTTATATCCCATGGACTGCCACAAAAAATTTGCCGAGGGGTGAGGCTTGCGATTTAGTTAAAAAACAAA